CCCTCAAGCCTAAACCCTAACCCTAAACCCTAAACCCTAAACCCTAAACCCTAAACCCTAAACCCTAAACCCCTAAACCCCTAAACCCCTAAACCCTAAACCCCACATCCTAAAGTTTAGGGCTCAGGGTTTCGGGCTTCGGCCTGAAACCCAAACCCGGATTCCTAAACCCTGAGGCTGTTTGAGGCTTTAGGGTTCCTTTGGCTCTTCCTCGCAGGGCTCCCGTAAGTGTTGCTTTAAGGGTTGCCTAGAAGTGTATAGGGGACCCCCAAGCTTCCCCAGCACAAGGTTCAGGGTTAAGGGTTTAGGGTTTGGGGTATAGGGTTTAGGGTTTGAGGTTTAGGGTTTAGGGTTTGGGGTTTGGGGTTTAGGGTTTGGGGTCTCCGGTTTAGGGTATAGGGTTTGAGGCTCAGGGTTTGGGATTTAGGCTGTAGGGCTTGGGGTTCAGGGTTTGGGGTTTAGGCTTTGGGGTTCAGGGTTTGGGGTTTAGGGTTTAGGTTCGGACTGGGGGGCGTAAGGGCGAATGGGATAAGCTCCCTAATAGGGTCTGGGGCCTAGGGTTTAGGGCTGACGGTTAGGATTACGCGGTTTAGTGTTTAGGGTTTAGGGTTTAGGGTTTAGGGTTTAGGGTTTAGGGTTTAGGGGTCCATCACTGCCACAGAAACTGCATCATCCCCCTGAACCCGAAGCCTAAACTGCCATAGGCGTGGACCCTAAAGACACAATCCCTAAACCCTAAACCCTAAACCCTAAACCCTAAACCCTAAACCCTAAACTCTAGCCCTGAACCTAAGCCCAAACTGCTATAAACCACCCAAAACCCCTAGTAGCCCCTAATAGCCCTAGACCCCAAACCCTAGGCTCAAACTGCTCTAACCAAAAGGTTCCAGGATCGGCAAGGTAAGCTCGAATCAAAATGCTCATCAACCATAGCCAAAACAAACCACTACCAAAAACGCACACCTGCCGTTTGCTGACCCTTACAGGAAAACTTCAAGGAATCCTTAGCCCTCCACTTCTATTTCCATCAAATCGTGGGAGGTAGGATTAGGGGACAGCTGGGGATAGAGGCCTTAACCATAAGGTCCCTTTAAGAGAGCCATAAGTGGGGTGAAGAAGGTTCCCCTTTAAGGGGTCTCCCTCATGCCACCTAGGAAATCGAACATCTACCGGCCCTTGGGCTCTGAAGCCTTCGGATCCTTCAAACGCAGCAAAATCCGAGCCTTCTGTTTGTTCATGTAGGGCCTAAATCATTACCAATCCTATTTT